CCGCGTCTATTGGTAGCATTACAGTTGTAGAATCCTTCCTGAGTCGTATTCACATTACTCAGGGTGAGATGTGTTTGGTTAGTGTGAAGGACTTTGCCTTTATGTGTCCATGTGACCGTAATCGGTGTGTCGCCAACTGTTTCACAGTTTAATGTCACATCGTGGTTTTTGTAGACTGTTATATACGAAGGGGCTTTCTGATTGGTGAAAACTGGAGAACCCAGCTTTCCTAAAAATACAAATGATGATTTAACGATAGTCTGTCATCAACTTTCAAAATGTTGATAAATCACCAATTTTTTTTAAGTTTAATTTTCTTAAATTGACCAATAGGCAATATCAATACGAATAAACGAAATAATAATATGCGAAACAATACCAGCACTAGCGCATACTTATAGCTATGACTATGAAAAATCTTCATTTACCTTTGCTTATCAAGTATGTCACCATTAGTATAAGAAAACGGTCATTTTGCGCAACAATAGAGTACAGTTTCTATACTCTCAAAAAGATTGTACAGTTCAAACACAACATTAAAATCATTTACATAAGACTCTTTTTTGGGGGGCTTCTTGTGCCAAAATGGTAATATTCAAATACCTTTATTTTGTCTTAATTCAGATGTTTATTTTTATGCCTTAAAGCATCTAAATGAGAGTCCTTTTTGGGAATCCACAGTATGTAGATTACCTTTGCGACGTCCAATCACTGATGCTCTCAGAGAAATATACAGTTGCCATGACGTAGGGTTAATGCGAATTGATCGAGCTTTAACATCACGGTTGAACATATTTGTTACGTATGAAGTAACATCTGAATTTCCAGGGAAAACCTAGAGTATATATTAAAACAATCGCTAGATTCATATTGTGTTAGATTTATTATGATTGACTATTTTAGATTTCAACGCTATCTTCATTAGATGGTTTTATTGTATCTTATCATAGTATGATTATTAGTACTTTAGTATAAACATATTAATGATCTATCACTCATACTGCGCTGTGATTGGCTACTCTACTAATGGTCTAATTTGTGATAGACCACTCGCGAGAAAATCAAAATTAATGAATTATAAATTATAAATTATTGCTGCGAACGAAGTGAGCAGCGACACTAATCTCGCAGACCTTTCGGAGTCCCTKTGCCATACATGTACATACTGAAAGACGAAAGTCGATTTCGTGGGCTAGCGATAGACACTTGCGCCTACAGTAAACATTACATAATCAGCGGTTAATATCAAATGATGAATGCGTCGTAAAYCGCATGGTCTTTCTTTTGCTTCCCGATCTTGCAAACGTTAGTTTGACAAGTATTTATCATGTTAAATGTGACTTTATTTATTCGAGGAAGTATTCATCAAGGTGATAGTCGTTTCAGCGACATTTCTAGAGGAAGACAATGTGCTTTTATTATTCTTTCAGCTTTTTTAACTGCACATTGTGATGATATTTCGACGTGGACGACAGAGACGATCGATCGTGTTTTGGTCAAAGGAGATTCCATCTTTTTAACAGCATTCGAAAAGCGCTCTATACCTGATGAAGAGACCATTTCTCTGAATTATCTGCCAGATCGAGTCCTTTGGTCTCGGATGACACAAATTCCAGCGCCCATTGAGGAAGACGAACGAAATCAATCGTCCGACGATGCAAATAAATCAAATCAATCGCCCAACGAGGCAAACAACCGAAATCAATCGCCTAACATGGCGAAATAATAAAAAATACATCTAAATTTCGAAGAGTGTTACTAACTTTGCGTATCGCAGCATTTCACATTCGGCAGGAATCGCTAGTTTTAAGGATATTTTCGGCCTCGTGGACTACGCGAACTAATAGCCCATTCGGCCTCCCGGACTCGGCCTCATGGGCTAGACTCTTTATTATCCCTTTATACTATATGACTGGAGATACTGTACGATTCGACCTTTAAACCAATGGATGGAAACAGATTGCGAATGGATATTTAAAGTCACAAGGATATTTTCGGCCTCGTGGACTACGCGAACTAATAGCCCATTCGGCCTCCCGGACTCGGCCTCATGGGCTATTAGCTCGTAGTCCACTCGACCTCGAGGTCTAATTGTTAAATAGTACCATGTATTAATTTCTCGAAGGGTTTTCAAAACTAATTAAGATATATTTCCAAATCCGAGGGAACTTTAATGAACTTTCCAAGGCGGACTGGTGTCGTTTTCTTGGCATGCCAACACGCAATGTATAGACAGTCAAAGCCATACACCAAAACTTCAAAAGGAAAGAGGACGCACGTTTGACCTCTCCAACTACCAGGAGAGTGTGTCAGTAAGAGAAAATGCAGTTCAATAAGCCGCGCGCAATTTGTTAAGCTTGCTATCGGCATCAAAAATGAGATGAACCAGTACCTTAACTTGAGAATACTCTTTATACCACACCCAGTATGTATTGTCAAGACTGTACCTTATCTAGAAACGAGTAATTAATCCATTATTCGTAAATGCAGTCTGCATGGGTGTTGATTTTTACATAAAACTGAGCTATAGTAATAACATGTTATTGAATGCCTTAAAATGCCAACTGAAGTGATTACCAGTAGATTGTCAGAACACTGCCTACCATCGATTTTGTTTAAATAACAATATTATGGAGACATTCAGCCCCGGGGGGGACTCCCTAATATCAAAGGGCGGGGGTCCTCGGCGTCCCTTTTAGGGTTTGAAATCAGTATTTTGGCCCCGCTTAGGGTGATCATGACAAGAATTCCTACCAACTGTGTTTTGTGGTCCCTTTTAGGGTATACGGCGACCCTAAGCAGGCATAAAATGGCAACGTTGTCATAAAATCAATACGAGCCGACGGTGTTCCATGATTGTGTAAAAACACAAATAAAATCGGTAAACCAAAACAAAATGACCTGTTATTGATTGGTCCCTTTTAGGGTTGAAATTTCAGCACTGCCACGCCCATCCCCCGGGCATTCAGCACCGTCATATGGACGAACAATACGAACTAGGTATTTGTGGAAAGTTTTGATCCTATTGACTAAATACTAGCGAAGAAATGAATAAAAATACAAAGACTTGTATAGAATTCTTTGCTGAGGCCTTTTGATATTTTTGTGCCTCTTAATTCCAAAACTTAATTACCCTTGCTTCAAAAGGATTAAGATTTTTCTGTGAAACTTTCAGAACTTTTCTTTGAGAATGAGAGTGATTGAGAATTACCTTATATGCTTTGACATATTGGATATAATCTCCCGATCCTCTTCCCTGTGTGACAACGCCAGTCACAAGCATTGTGTGACCCAGATCAAACTGAAACCACTGATTGGTGTTCATATATTTGGCGGTCCATGAAATCGCGATTCCTAACTGGTAATTAAGCCTCCCCATGTAAGTTGCATGTTGGTAATCGAATTCAGATGAGGCGGTAAGCTGACTATCTTGGACTTCTTTGTCTTCTATTCCCAGATCGGCAGGGAAGTCTGAAATACACCCCAGGGAACTCAATGAAAAATGTATTAAAAACTTCCCGTGTTCTGATGAGCTGCATCACTGCTACACTTCACTATAACTTGGATTCATGGACCGCGGAGCAGCCCCCCCCCCTTCCACCCTATAAAAATTTTGTAAAAACTGATCGTGAACAATTCAAGCTTTTTTTCGAACTTCTTTGGGATTTATTGATAATATCGCTGGCCGTGTGTGCTCATGCTTCCAACCGAGTTTTCATCAATATTTCTCCAAAGAAATTGCCTCGAATTGTTTTCTAAAAAAAAAAAAAAAAAAAAAAAAAAAACATACAGACAAACAAACAAACAAACAAACCAAAAAAAACAACAAGTAATTAAAAAAATCATAGGTATTTTAATACAAAGGTCAGTACTAAAACACGATTGCTCTAACTAGTGACTTTTTCATCATCACCGGAAAAAAACAAAAACTTTGTGAAATTCATTCTCAAAAGCATCATTGAATACTTAAAACAATATAACGAGGAAAATTAAGTTTTTGCTCTGTTATCTATTTTTTAAAACTCAATAACAAACCAGATCTTGAGAATAACATAAAGTATTGACCCATTAATCATGAAGGACTGGTACTTGATGCAGCTTGCATTGCTCATAGATTAATCGATAAGAGAGAGCAATAACTTGTAATTGATGGCGATTATTTAAGTAGTCAACAACACATTTTCGTGCTTCCTGGTGAAGTAAACCACGCCGGATGTTGGGAGAACACGAAAAAGGCGTAAAAGGCGTAGCCTTTTGAGTTATTTCCCAATATCCCAAGTGGTTTATTTCACCAGGAACGCACGAAAATATGTTGTTTATTGCTTTTATATTATAGCATTTTCGTATCCGTGCGTTTACCGGTGAAATAACAATAACATTTGACCAATCAGAGAGCGCGTACTATGATAGCTATAATGCAAAATCATATGTGTACCACTAAAGGGACATAGTCCACTAGCATCCCTTTCGAACTATTTTCTTGTTTGAAAATAAAAAAAATACATGGTAACAAAAGACTCTTTATTATCCCTTTATACTATATGACTGGAGATACTGTACGATTCGACCTTTAAACCAATGGATGGAAACAGATTGCGAATGGATATTTAAAGTCACTTCAATTTCATCTTGATTTCATTTGAAATTCATTTCAAATGTTTTAAGTTTTGCGAGGCCAAAATACTCAATATATTAAAGTCACTTCATTAAAGTCACGACCGAATTGAATGCTGGTGGACCATGGCCCTTTAAGATGACACACACTACGTACCTCTTCCATAGGAATACACCTCAACTCTCATACAGATACGTACATTCCACGTGTTGGGATGAAACCTTACGAACCGAGCGTAGATTACTGGAGAAAGTATGTGTCGAACAACTGTTTCTCGATCTAAATTACCTATGAAGATCTAGGGGAAGATAATTTTAGTAGATACAAAAATGCAGTAGGACCTCTTCTTACGGGGAATTCCCACTAAATTCCCTTCTATATGTCAGCCTGCATGCAAAACGACAAATGTTGGATCGCTCCAAAATAATAATGATAATAAAACAAATTCCTGGAGTTTCATTCCATAATGAGGCTTGGGTGCAAATCGATAATCTCTCATTATTTATAATCTACCTTTCTGGCTTGGTTGATTTTGTACTCTTGAAAAGTCATTCCATCGACGCTGTAGGAAATCCAGTAGCTTTTCACCCATTGGTTAGAAGTCGAGCGATGACGTCCCTGCGTTGCAACTGCTGTCACAAATGCCAGTGCGCTGAGATCCACCTTCAACCATTGATTTTTATCATTATACTTTGA